GCAAGGTGGGGAGCACATGATGGGGCAAAGCCATTTACTTCCTGGCCATGGAGTAAAAGAAAATGAAACTGGGATCCCATTAGCTCCTTTCAGAGGATGCCCCCAGTGACCTACAACCTCTCACTAGGCCCCACCTCTTGAAAGTTCCATCACCTCCCAAGAGCATCAAGAGATGGGGACCAAGCCTAAACCATACCAGAAAACGTTTTTTCTGTTCAAAGGTGTGAACACATCTGAAATAATAAGTTCAAAATATGTGAGAAAGAGGAAAGGAAGCAGAGCTCTTAGGGAAAATAATCTGTCTCCTTCCTCTCCTACTCTCTTCTGTATCCCCTTCCTCTCCAAAAAAGATTAGCAAATTTTTTGCATATGATACTCTGTAGAAGTTTAAAAGGCCTTATCTCTTAGATACTATGCATTCATTTATTCAGCAATAAGTTTGGAGTGTCTCCTTTGCAACCCACATTGGACATACCCTGGAGAACAGGACATGTATGGCTCCTGCTTTCCTAGAGTTTGCTATCTACCTGGATATTAGTAGAAATTGTTTTTTATATGAGCAGACATTAAGTGCCAGTCATTGTGCTAAGTTAGTGGTTCTCAAACTTAAGTGTAAATCATGATCACCATTTCCAAAATGCACATTGTTGGACCTCTACTCCAGTTTCTGATTCAGTGGATTGGAGACTGGGTGGAGGGTGGGGGTGGCTGAGAATGTGTATTTCTATTATGATTCCAGGTGCTGCTTCTGTTGCTGTTGTTGGGCCTTTCCTTTGAGAACCATTCTGCCAAGCCTGTCACATTCATTTACTCAAGTCTTATCGATATTTAGTATCATTTGGGATGGTGGCAGGTGCACAGGGTGAGATCTTCCTCCAAAATAAGTTTTTGTTTGTTTGTTTGTTTTTAGAGAAAATTTGATTTTGCCTTTAGGCGAAGTTACTGTTTTATGAAAATTGACTCTTTACGAAAAATTATTTAATGTATATCTGATCATTTCATAAGATTAAAGAGCTGGTGCAATAACAGATGAAGGAACAGGGAGGTTTTACTTAACAATTGTACCTGTTTGTCATTTTCTCTTTGAAGATCTTGATACAGAGCAATAGTTCTCAAAGTGCATTGCCAGAACAGCAACATCATTAGAAATGCAGGATCCCAGGCCCTATCCCCCTACCTACTGACTCATAAATGCTAAGTATACAAGCCAGGAATCTGTTTTAACAAGCCTCCTAGGCGATTCTGATGCACACTCAAATTTGAGCACATCTAAGATAGAGGGGAGTGAGAATTGGGCTGAGTCTGAAGAAGACCCTGGCATTCAATATTCTCAGCTCCCTTAAGACAATTTGCCAGGATGACTAAGCTACAATTTTTTCTTTCTCATAAGTCAAAACTCTATCCTTTGTTGCCCAATATCTTTTAGAATTACTGGGAATGCAGTCATAACTTCAGTCTGAAATAGCTTCACTAGCAAAGATGAAAATTCCTAGCTAATCATAATAGCACTGGTTCAGTGACAGAAACAAAGGATTCAGATGATTTGCATTCTAATCTCTTGTCTACCATGCATGCAGCTGTGGTTTGTTATTAACCTCACTTTTCTTGTATGAAAAATGGTCAGAAAACAAATGTCATTGGTCTAACTTGAAGAGTCGTTGCAAAGATCAAATGGAATAATAGATATGAATGTGCTTATGAAAGTATGCACTGCTGTGCAAACACAAAAATTTTAAATATGAGCTGCTCACACTTATCTCTTTGCTTCCCTATTAATAAAATTGGAATAGTTCGTTACTCAAAACTCCATGGAGATTGTGATTTAGACAGCTAATAGCACAATTTGAGCTCTTCTAAAGTATATTCTGTGGTTCATGTTTTGTCTTTAACAAACAAAGGTTGGAAGATGTGGAAATAGAATAGAATATTCTGTACTTTATTATGGTGTTTCTATATAATATATGATAGTACTTTTCTTTGAAGTGGTCACATTCTAGATCAATGGTTCTCAGAATGTGGTCCCTGGACCAGTATCAATAGCATCATCTGAGAACTTGTTAGATATGCAAATTCTCAGTTACCACCCCAGTCTACCAAATCAGCTGTTTGGGGAGTAGGGCCCAGCATTATGTGCACTACAGGCTCTGCAGGTGGTCCTGATGCTCAGTCTAGGCTTAGAGGAAGAGATTTATGTGTGTCTTAATTGAAGGATTTGACAAAGGCCACCCTTTTCTCTAGCTTGGATATGCAGCATCTTTGTCCAAACTCAGACAGTAACTATTGGATTCCTTCATAACCACACTCTGTCACTGCCCACCCAGTGCAGGAAATCTGAAATGCTACTGCAGTGTGTCTGTTATGAAACTGACTTCAGGGCGTGAGGAAATTAAAGTTATTTATCACAACCCATTTTCTCCTCTGTGACAGGGGAAATGAGGCTTAGCTAACAAGGCTTCAAATTGGGCTCATGCACAAACAACACACAGCTTGACAAACACAGTTTAAGCAGGCTTACATTTCTTTGACTTCCCCTTTGAAACTGAGCCCTTTCTTAAGCAGCACAAAGGTATGTTGAGCTTACTTAAAAAGTGCTGGAGATGGAATCATCCCAGTCTGATCTTGTTTTGAATACCATTTTATACTTGTTATGTATTTGTGATTATCTAATTTCATATTTCTTCCTGGTGTGGGTATTAACTGGAAAAAGTACAGTGGTTCCCATACTACTTCCGACCATAACTAACATTTATTGGGTACATCCCATAGTGTGGTGAATAGTGCACAATTCTGTGAGATGTATATTATCATCTCTATTTTATAAATGAAGAATCTGAACTGCTGAAAGTTTAATTAATGCCCAATGTTATGAAGCTATTTTTAAGTCCTGATTCAGTGCAGGTCTTTTTGAGGCCCAAGCCAGCATTCTAAACCAAATTGTGGATTGAGAAGTTACTTTAGGGAATAACAAATAGCATTTTTAAAGAATTGAATAGAATGGAAAACACCAGAATATAGCACATGTAGTTTGGGCAGTAGGTCTTGAAGCATGAAACTTTTGTTTTAACTCCAAAGATGCATGTATATACACACATATAAGTATGTTGCTGTGTACTGGGAACAAAATAGAATATATTTTTTACTGTATCATACTCACATTTGAAAGCAAAGTTGGGGTTGGGAGGAACAAATAGAAAGAGAAAAAGTGAGAGCAAGAGGGAAAAGTATGAAAGAGTAAATGAATGACTAACTATAAAAGAGACACAAGACTGAAGGAGGAACAGTAGAAGGGAACAAGAAGGGAAAGGATGGCAACTCTGTAAAAGAGAATAGAGATTTGGGTAAAGTCTAGGGAGGAGGAGGTCATATGGAAGTCACATGACTCCGTCCACCATTCCATTCAGCATATGCTCCTACTTTATGGCAAAACAGAGCTCTCTTGTTGGATTTTAAGCTTTCATATACTTCTCATGCTGTTATTCCTATTCTGAATGCAAGTTGAATATTTTTATAAAGTGTGGTTCCTATATCTAAATCATCTATCTCATCTGGCTCTCAACACAAAATCAGTGGTCTTAAGGGGAAACAGGTTTTGTTGAAATCAATGAATGTATAAGATCCTCAATGTGCCCCTTGCAAAGTTGGCAAAGGCAATTTTGAATACATGTAATTTTTGTCTTTTTAGCAGACTAATTTTGATTCCACTGCATAACCTCTTGTGTTTTAGTGGGAAAACACAGATAACAAATAGATATTAAAGCCTTTTATTGCCAGGAAAGTCTACATCCATTAAGAATTTTACTTTCAAAGGATTCTGGAGTTGATTAATAAAAAACCCATTTTCAAACTTGTGGAAATTGAGTGAATATTTGCATGAAGCTTCCATACATACAGATACTTTCAAAAGCATCTTATTATTGAATCTTCATAACTACTTAGGTAGATTGCCCGCATGTAAATTTTACTGAGAAACTGGAGCTCAATAAGTTTAAGTACCTTGCCCAGATTTTTCCATAGAAGGAGATAAAGATAGATTCAAACCTTAATTCTTAGACTCTGAATGTTTTTTCCACTAGACAAAAAGAATAAAAAATGGATCGAAAAACAGTGCTTTGTGTCACAATTTAGAAGAACAATTTTGTTTGTAAGAGTGTGGTGCAAAATCTAAAATGCCCACTCTTTTCCTCTGGTAGCATATCATTATGTAATTTCTTCCACTCCCACCCCAAAGATATTTCTCTATTTCTAGGCTCCCATTAGCAAATTAGAGTTGATATTGCTATACTTTCTTGTGATCCATCCTTGGCCTTTCTTTGTTGAAGATTATTGAAAGTACCAATTCTCTTGCAGTGGCTAACAGTGTTGTATCTAGTAATGGGTTATTGGCATCAACTAAAGTGGGTGTTCTTTCCTTTTTATTTTTCCTTTTTTTTTTAAGAATAGATGTTGTCGTCAGTGTAAATAGGACCCACCAGAGTGAATTACATTTTAAAAGCCTTCATAGCCTGTTAGAAAACAATTGTGATATTTTCCCCAGCTTGCCAAAATACCATTGCTTTATATCCTGTCCATCTTATTTGGTCCCACTACTAATATTTTATTTAAGAAAGAAACTTCCAGAAGAATGCTAGCCATTTCATTCTAACTATCTCTGCTAAAAACTTTGTGTGTTGTAATAAGACCTTTTCACCAGTGTATTTTGTCCTTATTTTTCTCCTAAATCCCCTCATTTTTAATAAGGATTCATGCTCCATTTCTTCTTGTTTTATGGACTTCATCTCCTACCTTCTAAAGGTAGCTGTAAATGAAAGTGTCTTTCCTTTCCTCCACTGGTTTCATTTGCTGAGTGTTTATTATATTAAATAATATATTTTTAAGAAGCTAAGATTCATCCCTACACTCCATAACAGCTTTGTCAGCCCAAATAAAATATACATCTCTGGGACAACATGGGGGATCCTAGCCTCATTACAATTTTACTAATTGATTGTTGTTTATTTCAGAAATCCCTGAAGACCCTCTTGTGGCTGAAGAGTATTATACAGATGTGTTTGATTCCTGCTCTGAAGATAGTGAGGAGCAGGAAGAAGAAATAGTGTTCTCAGGACTGGAGGGAGAGGTCAAGGAAGAGGGACCCCAACCAGCTTACAGAACAAACCAACAGGTACCTGCCGCTCCAGTCAGAAGTAGTGGAATTATCTGAGGTACTGACTAGACATCTCAGAAAGATTGAAGGAAGTCTTAAAACCTGAAGTGGAGGACAGGAGCACTAGAATATTTTTATGATGGCTCCATGTATAAACCTTCCAAGGGGCAGGGGCAGGTAGGATTTTAAGAATCTACTCTGGGCCAAGTTGACAAGGAAAGGACCAACATACATAGCATTTATTGGAGGAGCAAGGGGATGATGCACAGTACATTGTTTGCACACCAACAAGTGCCTCAGATGCAACTATTGAATAAACAATGCATATGTCTGTTTAGAAGGGACAATGAGATTTTTAATATAGTTTTCTGCCTGGTAATCAAATTTAGAGTCTTCATTTTTACAAATTTAATACAAATACATATTTGTAAAGACTGACTTTGTTCTGGCCATAACAGATGATATTTCTAGCTACTTTCAGCTTCTGAGGGCCCATCCTTACACTGCTGAGTCTTTCTAAGTGTATACCCTCATATAGAGCTCTTTAATTGTGGCATGACTAAGCCTGATGTGAGTAATAGGCCAAGAAATGGTCCTGACATATGTTTTCTCTGTTGGGTGTCTGTAGGAGATTTAAGCAAGAGGTATGTGAAGAGAAAGCAGATGCCTATGGGAAATTTATGAATATGTACCTCATTTTCTTCTTGAACCATAAACCTGGCAATCTTTCCAAGCCTATGCTACCATGAGGTACAGAAGCTTTTTATTAAAAACTGGAAACTATTCAGCTACTAAAATAAAACTCAATCAGGGGTACCTGAGTCAATGGAAACTTAATTTGGGGAGATGATTTTTGTAGTACATAAACTACAAAAGGTTGTACATAAACCATTCAACCATTTTTAATGAAAACTGAGTAATTGATCATAATATGCAATAAAACCAACAAGAGATGTTTCTCAAGTTCTACAGAAGAGAAAAGAAGGGAGAAAGGAATTAGTAGGGAATAGGTGTAAGACTAAGCAGAGAAAGAAATGAGAGAAATAGAAAAAAGAGAAAGGATGAAAGAATTTAAGAGACAAATACATGAGACGATAAATAAATTATTGACAAAAAAACAGAATGAAAGTGGGGTAAGATTCATAATGCCAAAATACAAACTTTCCTTTTAGCATTTTCCCAACTTTTCCAATGACTGCAGGGGGGATAAAAACAAACCAGAGCCTACTACTGTAAATTGAAAATATAATTTCCAGTTGCTTCTGTGCTGTTGTTATAAACAACTGAAACAAATGTTATTACAATATTATAGAAACTTTATTCTGCGCCTGTTGTTGCAAAACATGATATGCAAAATTCATACTCAGTATTTTGCTCTCAGAGCCTCAATTTTTTAATAAAATAATTCAACTCAGAAAACCACATGAAAAAAATACACTGCAGACACCACCCAGGTCAAGAAATAAAGCTCTGAAAGCTTTATCTTTTCCATTGTTGCCAGAACTTAGGGTTGGAAATCAGATTTCTTATATCTGAATCTAGCCTTTCTCACTTTTGGATCTCATGCAGGTTACTAAACTTCACTGTGCCTCTGGTTTCTAACCTGTAAAATGGGAGAAAAATGGTTCCTACCTCATAGAGTGGGTTTTTTGTTGTTGTTTGTTTGTTTGTTTGTTTTGGGTCCCAGGGATTGAACCCAAGGGTGCTTAACCACTGAGCCACATCTCCAGCACTTTTTAAATATTTTTTTTAGAGACAGAGTCTCACAGAGTTGCTAAGTGCCTCACTAAGTTGCTGAGGCTGGATTTGTACTCCGATCCTCCTGTTCAGCCCCCTGAGCCTCTGGGATTACAGGCATGCCACAGCTTCCAGCTCCATAGAGTGGTTTTAAGATTAAATGAAATAATTAATATAAAATATATATTATAGATCCCAGAACGTAATTATGTACTTAATAAATATGCAATAACTTAGCTATTATTGTGAAGTTACCCAGACATCCTGTGGCCTTTTTATGATACCAATAAAACTCTTTAAAGTGAGATTTTACAATTGTAGATGGACACAATACCTTTGTTTTGTTTATTTATTTTTTATGTGGTGCCAAGGATTGAATCCAGTGCCTTATAAATGCCAGGTGAGCGCTCTACCACTAAGCCACAACCCCAGCCCCACAATTGTAGTATTTCTTAAAATCCTTCTTCTTGTGTCTTAAGGCATATGAAAATATGAGGACAGGGATTTTGCTTTCTGGCCTGTGTATCTGTCACATGTTATATGACAATTTGGGTTGATTTAAAATAATCAGTTGGGGCAAGGTGCTAAGTCTTCTCACATACATGATGGTGTTTTTTCTCACACATTCTGTTGGACAGTTATTCTCATTCCTGTTTTCCAGATGAGGAAAAAGTGTGTTTCTGAGAGAGGAATAACTTGCCAGCAGTCCAGCTAGGGAAGAACCTGCTTCCAGCCTAGGGCAGCCATATTCCTAAGCCAGTGTTTTATCCTACTACACAAGGTATATCCATCTAGCATGGACTTGGTATAGTGGAAACAGGAGTGGAAATCACAACTGAATATTGTATTAGAGATGGGTAATTACAACCCCATTTTGTTATTGTCTTTGCTGCTGCTGCTGCTGCTTCTTCTTCTTCTTCTTCTTCTCCTTCTCCTTCTCCTTCTCCTTCTCCTTCTTCTCCTTCTCCTCCTCCTTCTTCTTCTTCCTTTTTTTGGTACTAGGGAGCTAACCCAGAGGCACTTAACCACTGAGCTACATCCTCAGCCTCTTTTTATTTAGAGGCAGGATCTTGCTAAGTTACTTAGAGCCTCATTAAATTGCTGAGGCTGGTCTTGAACTTGTAATCTTCCAGCCTCAGCCTCAGCATGTGCCACCATACCCAGCTCCCTCTGTGGTTTTGTATGTTTTGTTTTGTTTAAAAACTAATTCGATGTAGTTTCTCCATTCCAAAAAGTGGTGGGTGGGAGGATGTCATGGATGTTAGTTCTTCCATTTTGATTTAGCAACACATTAATTACACTTCAACACTCAGTGAAGAGACCCAGTCACTTCACATTTTGAATTATGTGAAACCTACAGCCTTCTCTGACATTTACCTCTTTTCTCCAGTCTTGTCCTTGAGCCCTGAGTATGCTAGGGTCTGTTTGGGTGGTCATTATACCCATGGTTTTTTTTTTTTTTTTTAATAATCGGAGCGAAGTTAATTACGTTTTCTCCTGATGGGAATCATATTTTGAGGGGGAAGTGTTTTCAGAAATATAAACAGCTACAGGCTTCATCGTGATTGATTCCTGCGTCTTGGTGCCAACCATGACAATCTTTGCAGCAGTGGCATCTCCAGAGCAGTTTTATTAAGCATCTAATTGCTATTGGTTGCCAGTTGTTCCTTTGCTGAGAGAAGCAAAACATCAATGACACCTTTATCACAAGCCACTATCATATTGTTGATGGCTACTCTGTGAAGTCTGTGTTTCCCAAATTGAACCAGTCTCTTAGATCTCAGAAGAATAGAGTTCATAGTTGCCATCACAACAGGGCTGTCCACAGCATTTGTAGGACCCATCACTGAAAGCATTTCATGTGCTCTGATGGGCAAGTCTTGGGGTTTCAGGCTGATGAGTGTTTTCATTAGTTCTTCTCTCTTTTCCTTACTGCCTTGCCCATTGTTTCCCTCTCCAAGACTAATAAACGGCTCAGGTGCACTAGTGATACACGTACAAGATGGGCAATAATGACTTGACACAGAACTCCCTCCACAAAGCTCTGTTTCATGCAGGCCACATTCAATGAGTCTTGTTTTAAAAAGGCTTTTCAGGACCATGGTATTTGTTTCTGCTAAGATGAAGGACTGCAGCTAATTCAGAAGTTTTCAGATCTTTCAGTGGTCTGAAAGTCTCTCTGAACACCAAAGCCTTAGGAAAAGAAGAAATACTCTTCCATTTGAAATGTGGCCACAGAGAGAAAACCTTACAGAGTAAGTAAGGTTTAAGGTTTCCCCTGGGGACCCTTGGATTAGACCATTATGAAGATAGATGCCTCAAGAGTTATTAATGAAGCATTAATCCGATCTTAATTATTGGAACAATAGCAGCTACCATTCCCAGAACCTTCTTTTCATGCTCAGTACTTTGTATTCTGAGTCATCTTAGATCCTCTGGGAAGTGGATGATAAGACACAACTAGAAATGACAGAAAAAAGCCCGTGCACGAGGTAGATAGGGAGCATCAAACTGTGCTGAAGGAGGGAAGGAAGGAGGAAGGGAGGAAGGAAGGATGGAAAGAAAAGGAAAAAAGTGGAACAAAGAAGGAAGGAAGGAAAGACTGGGTAAAGGAAGAAAGGAAAAAAGAAGGGAAGGAGCAGGGTAAGAAGGAAGGATTAATTGTGCAAAAACTTTAGATTGAAGTGCAGTCCTGAAAAAGGCTTGGAAGCTGATACAGGTGGCCTCACAGCGAAGACTTCCATTTGTAGGAGTGCTGCACTGGGGAGGAATGGCCTGGCTCTAGCATCCCCTCTGCGCTCAGACTGGCAGGGAACCATCTAGGAAGAGCACAACCTCCCGTGGGGCTGGGACTTGTCAGGTCCTTAGGCTCATTGCTGCAGGCTGTCCTTGAAGGAAGTTGTGACACACCTCATAGCTGCCACAGATAAATAATTTAATTCTTGTAATGGACCCTTTGATGTATGTATTCTAGGTGAATTGTATCAAACCAGAATTTAACTAACTGGATTCTAATAAGGGAATAGGGTAAAGGAGAAAGTGAGGGTAGGAGAAAGGAAGGGGCTTGAATTAAGGATTTTAGGCAATTCTGCCTGATATTTCAGAACGTGAATATCCCAGAGTGAGATGAGCTGTGAGCTGTAAATCCAGAGTCCTCCTGCTGCATTTCAGTTCTTGTGTGTCTCTCATATTATGAGACTCTATTGCTTCAATTGTTGCACTTAGATTTACAGTCTCTTGTAATTTAAAGGTATGTATTTTTAAATGTAGTCCTCAGTGCA